AATGTTTCATATAATTTTCCAACTTTTAGTGATAATTGAAGCCTTTTTATTTTACTTTTCTTAATATTCTGTATCAGCACATGGAATTAGACACTGTCTCTGTTACTAAGGCTTTTTAGTCCCTTTGATGTTTCTTTTGAAATGGAGAAAACAATAGCAAACTGTGGGGGCATGATCCAATGTTTACTTTGCAAAACAATGATTTAGGAATTCGTTTTTCCTTTTACGGTGCTGGCAGTGTGAAGAGCGTGGTAGAAGTCAGGCCGACTCCCGTGACAGTCACTAAGTTATTGCACAGAGCCTTGTTCATGGTAAACAGACAATAAACATCAGCTGGTCATGCTGAGTCTAGACCCACAAATTTGGGAGCCTAAAGTTTCCATTCCAATTCTAATTCAGAGAATTGGCTATTAAAAAGGGAAAATTTAGTAATGAGGTTGAGAAAGGAAAATACCCTACCATATCCTCCGATTCAGCTTCAGAAATTAAAAAAAAAAAACAACCACCCTTTTCCCTAATTAGCTAGAAGGAATGAAAGCGACTTGTCCCAGGAGGAAAATGAAAAGTGTGAACCAGTTCGGGAAAAATACAAATAGCCTTGGAGCCAGCCCCAGTTAATCATTGCACACCTTCCCTAACCTATACGACCTATATAGAGAATACTGAGGACTCAGTGCTTTTGACTTTGGTTTGTAACCCATATCATTGTTTTTTTGTTTTTGTTTTTTTTAAATATTTTTATTGGGGAATTGGGGAAAGGGGGACAGACAAGTTGCTGTCCTTTTGTTCTTCAGTCTAGTTGTGGAGGACGTTGCTTCACTAGCCCAAGTTGGCACCATCATTGCCTTCTTCCCAGGCGAGGCAGATCAGTCGCCGGCTTCTGGACGGCTGCTCACAGCGGCTGCTGGCTGCTCACGCTGGCTGCTGGCTACACACGGTAGCCCATGGCAACCCACTGCTGCAGCCTACACCGTCGCCGGCAACTCATGGCAGCCCAGCTCCAGGTCGAGCTGTTGTTCAGCATCTTAGCTGTAGAGGGCAGTGTCACTGGCCCTCATATGTGGGATCCAAACTGGGGCCTTCTGGCATCCCAAGCCAGCTCTTAACCAATGCGCCACTCGGCCGGCACCCCATATCATTGTTTTTAATTGGGTTTTAAAATTAATAGAGTATAAAGGTATGGGGATGCCTTCAATGTCTGAAACTAAGTTTGTGGGTTTCATTACCAGGATTCACTTTGAGCCACAGCCCACCCCTGCCACAGGCATTTTGACAGGTGTAATCTCAAAACACCAAACGATTTTAAAGTGTAAACCACCCACATGGTTCCGACAACTCTTTTCTATGTAGAGGAATCATTGTGGGAATTTGAAAATTACAATACAGGAAAAGTATTAGAAGTGAATTCAAAGATTGTCTCTGGCATAAGCACACATACAGTCTATTGGGTTGTCGGAAAAGTCATGATGTATTTTTTCTATGTTTTTCATTGCAAAAATGCGTCATGACTTTTCTAACAACCCAATATATTCCTTACTGTTTCAATTTAATTTCTAAGTTGAATTTAGTGATTGAATGCAGTGATTGTACTGTTACCATGGTTGGTTTTGTTTTCTGTTTTTGATGCTGTTAGTTTGTTTGCAATCAGGAGGGGGAAGAGAACTTTAAATTGAAACAACAAAGTCATCATATTAAAACGTGTGTGTATTGCTTCCCTTGTAATACTAACAACATCATGCACATGGTTATAAGTTTAGAAAACTAGAAAATTTTCCTAAGGTCAGTACCTCTTAATCTTTCTGTAAGTATTTGCAATTTAGTGTATATCGAACCTACCCCTGGCTTTTTATAATTGGGACTCTTTCCCCTTTAGGTCAGTTTCACTTCGATGAATTAATCATTTCTACTTGACCTTTAAGGAGGCCAGCTCTCCACGCTGTAATAGGTCCATTCTGACCAAAACTCTGTCAGACAGATTCTGAAAACACTTTAAAATGAATCAGGTCACAGGTGGGAGCCAAACGGAAGGATGGCAGGTTTCGTGTGAGATTTCCACAACAGGATGCTGACATTCTTTCAAGTTTTAGGCTTTCTAGTAAAGGGATGCCAGAAGGTGGCAAAAATACCTGAAGCAGTTAAAAGAGCGTTTGGAGTTTACAGAACCGCAGTTACTTCAACACAGCTGAAACAAACAAAAGACCTACCTAAGAAATGACCTTAACTTTAAACATTGAGCTGAGGACCTTCAAGGTTCTACCCTGAATTTCTAAGCACTTTGGTGGGAGAACCCATTTTCTTCCTGGCTGTCCTATCCTGGGCCTTGCAAGCTGGGCTGACCCACTGACCATCACACCCTGTTGGTCTCAAGTTCTGCTGGCATCCCAAGTAATCCCCTAGGATGCCACCCTCCCTATTCCCACATGAGCCTCATTTCTGGGTCGTACTTATCTCTTGACATTGGGCTCTTCATGCCAGTCCTGCCTCCCTCCTCAGATGCCATTACCATCTGTCCCCAGCTTTGGAACCCACAGCTCTCCTACCAGGTGGCAGGTGTCCTTCATCCACTGGCCCTGACTTTGTCATAGACAGAAATGAATGTTTCCTGTTCCTTCCCTGGTCCCACTGAACCCCAGACCTTGTGCAGCTCTTTATCTGGTCCTTAGCTTGTCTGCTTAAAACAATTTCTAAATCATTCACTGAGGCTCCTGATGCTGCTTCAAATAAGCAAGAAGGTATCAAGGCTCTAAGGTTTTCTTTTCAAGATAGGATGAAAGAAATGATAGGGCAGAACCCAGTCTTTGTGAGCCCAGGTGACTGCCCCAGGTGACTGACAGTATCAGCAGAGTGACTAGTCACTCTGGCAGTTGCCATGGAGACCACTCTTGTTTCCTGTTCTCATCCAGAGTCACCAACATACCTCAGAACATCAAATAACTTTAAGATATTTGTCTTTCCTAGAAACAGGTTGAATTATATGTGGCAGTAAATGTCAGCTCTTCACCAAACCCCTGGGTCCCTTCTTCCTGGGCACACACATTGCATGAGATTAGTTCCCACCAATAATATGAGCTCAGAGGTGATGTCTGGCACTTCTCGGCCACAACTTTTAAGAAGCAGATGTGCCTCTTCTACACTCTGCCTTTCTGCTTGCTGGGTGTAAGTGGTAAAGAGGCCCAACCAGAAATGGAAGCAGAGGGTCTCTGAAATTCTATGTGGAAGAAAATTACCCACCAACCAGGACACCCACATTGGCTAGCTAGGTGGACAGAAACCTCTATTGTGTTTGAGCCATTATACATTTTGCGGTCTTTTGGGTACTGAAGCCATGCCACACTAATTAATGCAACCAGTATTTTATGTTTTACAGCACTAATGTCAGAGTTTATGGACCGTCATCCTGGAAAGAAGGACTAGCAGAAAGGGCAGAGGAGCAGGAAGGAATAAATAATGGGAGTAACTACCAACATTTACCACAATGTAACCATGTACCAAAACTTAAGTTAAACATATTATACATACTGGCTTATTTAATTATATTTATTTCTCCTAACAACTTTCGGGAAATAGTACTATTATTATCCCTATTAGTCAGAAGTGAAAACTGAGGCAGAGATGTAGTACTCAGGAAGCCATGATTCAAATCTGTTGACTCCACAGCCCAAGTTCTGGTTGAGTGCCCACGACTGTGTTCTAGGCACTTCGTACAATTTCATCTTCGTAACACCTTGTAAAATAGGCTATATTCTCCCCATTTTAAAGATGAGTAAGCTGAGGTTCAACAATGATAAATGATTTGTCTAAGCTTAGAAAGATTCAGGCAAAGGTCTGAGTGTCTAAAGCTCATTCTCTTTCCATCACACAATTGAGGTCAGACATTGAGGCTGTTCTTTCATGCTGATAAGAAACTGGCTAGGCCTGACATATTAGTCAACCCATCCTTCGCCCCAGCCCACAGGGAGAGCTGCGTCAGCCAGGATCGGATCAGTCACATTCAGGCCAAACAAAGCACAGGAGCCCGTGGCGTGGAAACTCATTCTTTTAATGAATAAAGGGATTCTGCCTTGCAGGAGTTGTAGTCCCAGTCCACAAATCTACCTCGGAATACTAAAGTCATGGAGGGCCACCAGGAACCTTCTTTTTATAAGGACCTCCTGATCCTCTGAGAAGAAATACGACGGGAATGTCAGGGCTGATCAGAATACTGGCACCGACTTGAACAAAGATGGAGAGAGGGAAACTGGCAGGACTCCTGAGTGGAAATGACGAATGGAGGAAAGCCACTTCCGTCTGTCCCCACACTTGGCTTTTTAACCTGAATGGCCCACCCTCTCATTACACCCCTCCTGGCCCCTGTCAGGGCTGGCCTCTCAGGGACTAGCTGACATCAAGGAATCCCTCAAGACCAAGCCCCATCCCTTCTCCCTCCTGCCTTGACCGGGGGAATTATTGGCATAGTTAAAGTCTAGGAGAATGGCCAGTGGTAGAGGCTCACAGTGGGACAAGACGGTGGCCTTATATAACCTCCTGGCCTGTGCTATGAACCTGAAGGACAAAGGTCAGTTTGGGACCAAAGAGCCACAGTCCCATATTCATCCATACAACCCATAGACATTGTGGTGAGAAAAGGCACGGAGGGCCCTGAAGGAACTGGGCCACCGCGGGGACCGCACAGGAGTGACAGGCAGCTCCGTGGTGCCCATCAGGCAGTGAGCCCATCCTGGTTTCAGGGTTTCCTAGGACCAGGGCTGCCACGGCAGCAGCACCACAAATCACTGCAACTGTTCAATTTTTCATTAAGCAATTTATGTAATGTTTAGTGTTCATGAAACTAATGTACTTATACCTTCTGGATGGCGTCTCTAAGTACCGGATGTAATTCTAATGGCTAAGCGTACACTAAATTCATTTCCTAGCAGTCATATGTTATATTACCTACAACCTCCTTTCTCCATCACCCTAGTGAATGGAGAGGCAACTCTAGCACAGTCATGCTCACTTACTTTAATTCCTTGTAATCCATAGCCAGGGATGCCCGGAGGGCCAGGCAAGCCTTTCTGCCCGATATCACCCTGTTGGAAGAAGGAGAGAAATCAAGACAAGTGTGAGAAGATTTAGGGAGAAACAATGTATTATCGCTCTTGGCTTCATTCTTATTTCAGTCTTTGCAGGACCTTCATCCACTTTGCCCATAAGCTATATAATATTTTATAGAAAGCAGTGGTTTTCCAAAATTTTTAAGCCTCAGAATCCTTTGCAAAAATCTTGCATCTAATCCAAATATCAGTAGAGACATGAGGCAGAGCTTCTCGGCATAAGGAGAAGGGGGGCCCGGTAGCCTTGTCTGCTTGGGTTCCTCTGGCTGCCCTACCCCCAACCCCTCGAACACCAGGGGTGTGCAGACCGCTCACACACACTGCTCTGTAGCTTTACTGCCTTCCTCCATTTCACTGCGGAGTGCTAACTCACCAGGGCTGCAGTTAAAGATTCAGAGGCTATTGGTGTGATCAGTATTGAATTTTTAAGAAAATATGTAAATGAAGCAAAAAGTATATCATTTCCCAGTATGTGCTCCTTAGACCATAAGTGGACCCCATATTTCTTTAGGAAAAACTTCTGTGGTCAAATGAGGTTGCAAAATGTTCTACATCGTGGTATGTGTCTCCCCTTAGAGATCCCTAGCACATATTAAAATAGTAAAGCCTCGAAGAAGTCCCACAATAGGTTAGTTTCACTATCCCTGAAGTTCCTGAATTAACATTTGATGGAACAAGCTTTGAAGAAAGGCTAGGTTAATATAAATTACATTGTAAGTGAGGCCTTTTCTTTCCTGTATGAAAAACAGCTTTATTTTTTTTTTCTGATTGTAAGAGAAATACCTGCTCCTTGAAAAAAAAAACAGAAATAAAGATGACTCTGAAGAAGAAAAAACAGACACATCTTCCCATCACCCAGTGATAATAACTACCAACTTCTTGGGGACATCTTCACCCACATAAAGTGATCTATCTATAAGTTAAGAAATAGTCCACTGCCTAAATGGAGTTGATGGACCAAAAAAAAAAAAAAGCTTGGTGATTCCAAGCTCCTTTGTAAAATCTCTGGCTTATAAAGCCTTTTTCCTTTCCTTTCTGATAACAGAGTTTAATTCACTTCTGTGCATTTTGGGCGTGAACGCACCTACTTGAAATTTGAATTTGTGATGGGTAGATCCTTGGTATCTGTTCTCCCTATGAACATGCCTGATACTTCTGTACCATACTTTTTGAACAAACCAAAGAAATATTTGTTGAGGACGTGAAAGAACAATTAAAGCAGGGCTTCTCAACCTCAGCACTATTGACATTTTGAGCTGGATAATTCTTTATTATGGGAGGCTGCCCTGCGCATTGTAGGGTGTTTAGCAGCATCCATAGCCTTTATCCACTAGATGCCAGTAGCACTCCTTCCACAGTATGACACCCCAAAATGATTTCAGACATTGCCAAATGTCCCCCTGGGGTGGAGAGGGGAGGACAAAATCTCCCTCATTGAGAAACACTAGATTAAAAGAATAAAGGATGAGTAATCACCAAATTGGAGGTGGCAAAAGGAAGAGAAATATTGTAGAAATGAGAGCAAAGGGAGTTTTTCTTACAGTCCCTGGAGACAATAAATCTAGACCCTCGCCCTGAGGCCCTGATAGTGTACTACGCACATCTGATACAATAGGTACATTAGCTGGTGAACTGTTAAAATGCCACCTGAGGCACCTCCGACCAAAGCTAAGATGCACTTCTTAACGATGCCTCTGAGGAACCTAGAAATATTTTGGGCACTTTGCAACCACTTTCTTTGGAGACACTAGCTTTCTAATTACTTGGGGGGAAGAGAGTGACTTCATAAACTTAAATGTTCTACTTACTCAAAGTTTACATGATATGAGAAAAGCAGGCTTTTCGGCAGCAATCAAGACAGAATAAGTCAACACCAAAGTGAACACTATGAAGTTCATGTTCATTGGTTTGTCACTGATGGTCCCCTCGCACACAGCACAGACCTGAGGACTCACCTTTGGCCCCTGGGTTCCTATTCCCCGAGGCCCAGAGGGGCCTGGAGGACCTCTGACGCCAGGGTCTCCCTGAAAAGACACAATGAATAACAAGTGACTGATTTAAAAAACAAAACAAAACAAAACTTTGTGTTGTATATTCCATAGAAAATTTCATATTAAAAATATCTCATAGAAATTTTCATATTAAAAATTTGAAAATCCCAAATCCTTGAATTTGACTAAACTATCAATTGAGCCCTTTTCTCCTAGATCACTTTCCTAAACTTGACAAAGGAAGTTTTATCTCCCTTTGTTTTCATTTCTTATTGCTGGTTAGCTCTGCAAGCCAACCAATAGGGGTCCATTTCAAAGCAATCCAGTCAATTAACTTTTGGCAACCTAAATATATGCTTTTTCCAGAGCTCCTTTCTCTGGAATTTGGAAAATTAATTACTGCCATTGTGAAAAGAAGACAGGAATAAAAAGCAACCATGAAAAGATAGAACCTCATCCTGAATTAGTTGCTCTTACTATTTTGTGCAATAGAGATTATGCTACTTGAGCTAGGGATTGGCTGGTTGATCAATCTGCCACTAGAGCCGTTGTGACTGCAGGGTCAATACTATAAAGACTTCTGTGGTTCTCCAAAGTGTGACAGCTTCATAACAGGCAACCATCACCAGAAAAGTGGTGAGACCTGATTAGGGTAAGTCAGGCCCTGGGGTTAGAACTACGTGAGATGTGAAGGACGGGAAGAAGCAAAGAGATAAACATCTCTTCATTAGCCACTTATTAGGCATGTTCATATATGTCATTTGATAGAATGTAGTATTTACAACCATCCGGTATTACACCGGTGACTAATTTACCTAACTCCTCTGGACCTCAGTCAATTCATCAGGTACATCGAAAATCATACCTACACGTCATGGGGAAGGCAGTGAAACAAAGAAAGTGATGCTCCTATCACAGTGTCTAGCACAGAGCAGGCACTCAGCAAATGTTAACTCCCCACCCCACCTGTTTTATGAAAGAGGAAACTGGGGCCGGCCGAGTGGCGCGATGGTTAAGAACTCGCTTGGGATGCCAGAGGGCCCCGGTTCGGATCCCACATATGAGGGCCAGTGA